AAGGTTGCAGAGACGTGTGGTTTGGCAGTGCTGATCAATGCTGGCCAGCAGGGCCACCTCGCCCAACTTCCCGTGGCCTACAATCTCCACGGGCACCTTCAGGATGATTTCCCCTTGCTCTTCATACACACCTGGGAACAGTACAATTCGGTCATACAGGCTGGCCATGGCCAAGGCACTGCCCAGGCTGTCAAACTCATGGCCTGGCCCGACACTCAGGGTACGGCGCTCTCTCCTCCGGCGAAACAGAGAAAAGCAGACAGAGGACTCCAAGTCCAGGGCATTCTTGGTCCATGTCTTGGAGGCAAGGTAATGCTGTTTGAAGGCCTCCCTCCAAGACTCGGGCTCCACATTAGGCTGGTTGGGCCAGTTAGGGTGGCGGCACTCTGCGCATCCCAGACACAGCTGCCGCCAGCGGGTGCTGTCAAGACTGAGGACCAGCTCGTACCAGGCCCTGCATACTAGGCTACAGCGGCCCAGGTCGGGAAGTTGCAGGTAGGCTAAGATCATGCGCCACAGCTCCAGTGGGAGACCGCCAGCCTCCATGGTCACCTAGGAGACACACAAAATTAAGAGGTTTTTGTTGACCCTGTTAATGCTCCCCCTTCTTAAAATATTCCCTGCCTTCTCCTGACCCCAGGGGTGAGCAAGTGGACAAGGCCTAGCCAATCACAGGACCCCATCCCTTCAATCAGAATCTTTCCCTGGGATTTTTCTACCTGGAATCAGCAGGGAAGATTGATTCCTCTTTGGTCAAACACTGTAAGGACATGACCTCAGAACTGCTAGCAGCCACATTCCCCACCTTGCAGAGAAAAACCTGTGGTACCAGAGCCAAGGAGAAACGAGGAAAGACGAAAGATGGGAACAGAAAAGAAGATAAAAGAAGAGAGCCCATGTGTGTGTGTCTTGGTGGCCATGATTCCAGACTCCTGAAGACGCCCTGGAACCTTCAGTTATTCCTTCAATTCTGTGAGGTGCCTCAGTGGCCCTCCAGTAGTTTCCCTTTTTGTTTAAACTGGCTAGATTTGGGCTTCTGTGACTTGCAACTAAAAGAGTTTGGACTAATAGAGGGAACAGTTTCCTCACCTCCTTCTTAAGCTACACCTTTGGGTTTTTTAAGAGGAAATGACTCTTCTATCCCTTGTATAACCATTCCATATATTCATTCCCTTGGCTTCAACCACCAATTCACATACATTCATGACTACAAAATCTGAATCTCCCACCTCAAGTGTCGCTTCCAAGCTGCCATTCATGAACACCCAGTTGCCTGCTGGGCCTATTTGGATGTTCCACAAATAACTGAAAACTCAGCATCGTATCCAAAGCTAAACCTCAATTTCCACTTCAGGCCATTATAAAATACCTGCAGCTGGATTCTCCCTCCTGACGTAAATAATTGTAAAGCTGGACTGAATATGTGCTTTTAGGCGTGGGACAGCAAGCTGCACAGGACTGGTCTTTGAGAGAAGGGAGACACAGGTGAGTGCATGACTGCTCCAGCTTTCGTTCTGGGGCCCCTTCTCACTGTGGGCGGTGCTGCTGAGATGGCTGACTCTGGGAGGCAGGATACCAGAATGGTGTGAGCAGCACAAAGTTGGGGGCTGGGGGTGGGCGGGCAGTTTCTTGGCTGAAAGCTGGATTGCACACGCACAGGGCAAGACTTCATCAGGCCTCGTGGAGATCACCTGCTATGGGGTAAAGGTGACACTAAGACCACACAGAGCTGGGAGACAATGGAATCCCAGCCCAGAATACAAAGTGTTCACACTGAGACTCAGAAAATATATGCCACAGGAATAAATTCAAACTGGAAGAAGGCAACCAAGCCTGACAGGTTCAAAGGTTCCGCCAGTAACTTAACTGCCGGTTAGAATAAAATGTAACACTCTTAAAGCAGCAGCAGCATCACGTTGACTCCCTCAGCACATGAGCCATGAGACAGGGCAGTGATGGTCTAAGAAAAATAGAGTCCAGAAATAGATGCATCTGTATATTGGTCAATTAATCTTTGACAAAACATGAATGCAACTCAGTGGGTAAAGAAAAGCCTTTGCATCACTAATCATAAAAGAAAAAAAGAAAAGAAGTACCTAGGTTACTGCAACACCAGGTCCACTTGTCCCAAGTACTATGAGAGTGGGATTCTGCTTTTTCCCAGGCTCTGGGTTTTTTCAGGAAAGGATGCCAATAAGTAAACCAGTGGAGATAACTGCATGATTTACTGTTACCTACAACTGACTTGAATTACAATACCAGAATTACGGGGAGAAGCAGCAGGTCAGCAGTACCTTTGGTTAGATTTCATCAACCCTTTCATATTTAACTCTCACGTAACCCATTCTTTCCTTCAGTGTCCTACCTTTGCACTCCACATCCCTCCCACATTTCCCCCTAGACCTTTATGACTCTGCTTCCAATTCCTTTTTCTAATTTGAATGCTGCTTTTCTCATTACAATGCCATTTGCATGAGGAAGGAGCCCTGCCGCCAGTGCTCTGAGTGGGTTAGGTGCCATTTATCTCGGCTAGGCCGTCTCCTCTGAGCATGTTCTTGACTCACCTCACTTAGGAGGTATTTTTAAAAACTTTATTTTGCTCTGTCTCCATAAGGTCTTGGTGACCTGTACAGGATTCTCTGAATTCAGTGACTTTATATCTCGCATTTCTTCTAGCTAGTTTTGACCCTTCACATAGTCCCTTTCTGCTAACTCGCTCAGTTGTGTCCTCCCACAATAGATGAGCTCACTTACAGTATTTTTTAGCTGCCTTTGCCTTACTTCTTTTTTTCTTATATCTTGCTACTTCAGTTTCAAACCCCCAGAAGAACACTGTTAGTCCCCACCTCCACAAGCTCCTGTATGAAAGCATACACACCATCAGCCATCCAAGCAGTTCCTCCCGGCGGGCAGGCTCATCTTCACCAGGACCACTGCTGCATCTGGAAGGAGTATCTTTTGACCATTAAGAGCTTTGATCTACTTTTTAGATTCTTTTTCTCCTCATCCCTACCTCCCACTTCCAAATTCTTAGCTTCTCTGATTATAACTATCCTGTGCTTCCAGGGAGCACCATATAGTATGGACTTTCTGACACACTGTATCCATGACGTTCTTTCCTTCTGTAAGGGGATAACTGACGGGTGTTGAAGAGTGACTCAGCTAACCCTAAAGGAACCCTCTGTATAGCCTTCAAGGTGAGAGGCTTCCCTGTGGCCTTTTGCAAGTCTGCTAATGGTCACTATTCCAATTCTCAGGAGGACAAGAGACCCAAATCACAACCTCCCAAATTACCACCAGCAACTCTGGTAACTGTGTCTTACCTCACTGCTGACTTGAACTGAGTTTACCACATAAGACTATTTCAACTGGCCAACTTGTTGTGTTCCCCATGTGATGTCCCATAGCACCCAGCACTGCCAGTTCTGTCCCAGATGAGCTTCCCACCGTTACCATAACTGCCCATCAATAAGGAATACACCAGGCCGCCATGACTGAGTTACAGAGAATATAGCAGGGACCAAACACACCCTCTCATACCTAGCACAAAGTGCATGGTTAATAACAGTGTTTTCATGTAAATAAACAAACAGCGGAGAATGGCCATCATGACCCCACCCCAATTTTTAGGTGAATAATTGATTTTCACAAACTTCTGTAAATTTACTATAAAAACACAGCTTCAGTGACCCTCCCTCCCCACCCCATGAGATTCCTGCATCTATACAGAAATTCCTATGTAGAAATTCTGAAAGTTCTACTGTGAATAAAAAATTAAATAATAAAAATCCTTCTTATTCCTCAGTGTATTTGCTTTACAAACATAGCCCTTCTGGAGTGTGGGGGATACTGGAATGAGAAAAAAGTGATAGGAAATGAACACAGCTAATAATAACCTAGGATAGAAAGAATTAAGCTCTACAGTTTACAGAGCTCAAGAGGAAAGAAAATCTTTAAGCCAGACTTGGCAGGACTTCCTGTAACAATGGTTCTTAAAACATAGCTCTTGACCCTCTGCCTCAGAATCACTCAAGGTCTGTTCTTATGCTACTTCAGATCTGCAGAATCTATGGAGTGGGACCAATTACCTCCATTTTTACCAAGCTCCCTGGTAACTGTCATGAAAGGGCCCCATTCCACACTTGAATGCAGCATCCTCACTAAATGGCTCTCCTCTGCTATAACCTTCTCAGAGATGTGGCTCTCCCTATATTGTGAAGAGACTTATAATCTCAAAGCCAGATGACCTGGGGTCACGTTGTATGAGACACTGAGCAAGTCACTTAATCTCCCAGGCCTTGGTTTATAACCTCACATATATATTGGGGACCTGATACCACCCCAAAGGACTGCTGTGACAATTAAAAGATCTAGTGTACACTGTGTGGGTAATTAATTTCCCTCTTTCTGGGCATATGATAGGAGTACTCTCTGGTCTCTCTGGTTTGGCTGGCACCACACGATGAGTACTAATCAGTGATTTTTGAGTAAAAGAGAGATCGGCCACTTCTCTATGCAGCACTGAACTGCCAAGTTCAAGTGTCGATGAACTGCCAGATCATCCAGAACTCTTTTCCCCCTGGCACAGCAACAGGCAACATCTGAGCTGATGGCTAATCTGGCAGGATAAGCAGAGGTTCCACCAACCCAAAAGGGACACACACCATGCGTGAAACATAACCTTTTGTTTTAGGTTAAGACACTGAGAATTTGGGGACTGTTACTACAGTATAACCTAGCCTCTCCTGACTGAGAGAGCATGTGAAATGCTCAAGGACACTATTATGAAACCCCTGGACGCCTTAAAACTGCCCATTCCATGTCTGGAGGGACTTTGGCATATATCCCAATACGGAGCTGAAATCTAGCTCTGATTTATATCCTCAGTTGGTCTCAGTTCTGCCCTCTGTGAGCCACTGGAGTTCTGCTCTCATGTATGTTGCAGGTTTGGAATAGGCCTTGGATGCCAAACTCAGAAACTTGTATTCTGTCTACTGTAGGTACCTCATGAGGGGAATGGCCTGATCAGAGCTATATTTTAAGAAGACCCATACTTGAAAGGTATGTTATCTGGAATAGTGAGGTCAGAAACTCACGACCTTGCAAATGTTAAATGACATTATCTTTCCCTCAGGATGGTATAAGGGTCAGTTTTGGGGGGTTCCAAGTAGGCTACTCTACAGTGGGAAGCAAAGGGTCTAGTGGCTGGCCTTCTGGGAATTTTTCATCTTTCCAAACTGATCCAAGTCCCCAGCTCTAGGCAGCACCCCAGGGGCCGAATCTAGGATGAGGCCAACAATGCTCTCCTCAAGGCCCCCTCAAGAGTTCAGGGTGAATTTCCTTTTATTCAAATGTCACATTCCCTATTGTTCCATTTGGCTTTATTTACTGTATCTTTACACTAATCCATGGGGATCCATGCAGCAACAGGGATTTCTATAACCAGGTAACACTTTTAAAAAAATGTATTCAAGTTTTGCCCTTCCTTTTTGCCACTGGGACCTCTGAGCTATGGAAAAAAAAAAAGGAATAAATTACCCCAGGGCCTGTGCACTGGAGTGTGATGTGAAGAACTGGAGAAACAAGGGTAGGATCCAGTTTGGGATGGGAAGGGGCAGGTCCTTAGGTATGCCTCAAGCTGTCCCCTTTTTTTTATGTGTTCCCAAGGGTGTGAGAACTCAGGGCTTCGGTGTGGCACCCTCCTAACTGCCCACTGGAGGCATCCACATGCCTCTGGGGGTGTCCCTAATCTCAGTGGGTGAGGCAGAGGCCACCCTCTTGGGAGGTGAGGCCCACAAGACCTGGCTCTCCACAAGCAGGCTCTCCTGCTTCCAGTCCCATGACTTGAGGCAAGTCCTCTAACCTTTCTGACCTTATTTTCTCATCTGTAAACAGCCTAACGATGGCTGTCCTGCTATTCCTCATGAGGATTTTGAGAACTTCCCAAAGAAAAAAATAATCTATTCAACAAATATCCAGTGACTGTGTACTACTGTGATAGGTACTGTTCTTAATACCAACAAGCAATAAACAAGACAAAGTAACTACCTTCACAGACAGACAATAAATTTTAAAAATAATAACATAAATGCTATGAAGAAAGATGAAGCAGGCTAAGGGAAGTGCCTGTGTGCATTTGCTTGTGTGCTATTTTATATTTTAGATAGCGTTGCCAAGGAAGGTCTCCGGGGAAATACCATTTGAAGCCATGGGGTGGGGTGAGATCACTACAGAGAGCGGAGAGAGAGCGGCGAGCATTTAGTAATATATGTAATTGTTGAATCATCATGTTGTACATCTGAAGACTAATACTACATATCAACTATACTTCAATTAAGAAAAAGTAAGCTCCTTATGGGCAGAAACTTTGTATCACTGCTTTGTATTATGCCTAGAACTATGCCTGGCCATAGTAGGTGCTCAATAAACATTTACTGAAGGAATGAATGTCACCATCATCATCTGATACATCAGAATAGCTGAGACTATTCAAACCATTAGCTATAGAATCCCTGCTGTGACAGAGAGCCTTGTGGAATAACAGAAATAAGTAAAACCAAGTATGTAGTCAACACTTGCTATGTGTGAGAGCTGCGAGGGAATCAGGAATATGATAAAGACCCCACCCTCGAGTTGGTAGGAGAGAAAAGACCTCTACCAAAAATACCTGGCTAGAAATGGCAGTTCTTGGGCACTCTCCTGTACCTACTGGATCAGAACTGGCATTTCAATAAGCTCACCAGGGAACTTGTGTGCACCATATGTTTGAAAAACAATGATTTAAAGTGTTGTCTTCATTCTACAGATGGAGAAACTAAGCCTGTGAGAACTTACATGACAAAAGACTGACCCCAAATCACTCTGCTAGAGAGCAGCAAAGCCCCCTTCTAAAGGCAGGCCTGACCCAAAAGACTAGGTTTTTCACCCTTAAGCCAATGTTTGTGGAAGAGCTGGCATCTGAGCCAGCCTCTGAGATATGGGTAAGACTGGGGCATCCAGAGAATGCAAGAAGGGAGACTGAAGGGAGAAGAAAGTCACCAAAGCCCTGGAGGTAGGACCCAGTAAGAAGCCCAGTCTGGCTGCAGCTCGGGGCCCTGCGGGGCTCAGCGAGAAAGGGCAGCTTGATGAGGTCACGGAGTTCTCATTAATTTTGGTGGTGATGGGGAGCTGCCTTGAGTCACAGCACAAAAGGCTCAACCCATACTGAGACAACTCTGACAGAATGGACCCAACAGGCTTCTAGCTTGGGCTCTGCCCTTCCCTCACTGGGTAATCTTGAGGGCAGGGCCTTAACAACTCTGCTTTCATGTCCTGTGTTTATATAATGAAGAAAATACACTTCCTTCCTACCTATGGGAGACCACGTCAGTATTCAAGTGGCAGGAACTTTGCTTTTAATAAAAAAGAGGGGGGAAAGATCTATGAAAGCCCAGAACTCTACTTAGTATCAACAAAGGGGGGGAAGACAAAGGGGGAAAAGATATTTTCCTACTACATTATGAGGCACACTAGACAATAGTGTAAATACAAACTGTGTCAGTTGAGCAACTGTAATTGGTTAACAATTTTAGATCTTTAACAAATCAAAGTAAGTTTCCCTAGAGTTTTGTGAATTTTAGTTTGGAAGTACACAGAATGTAAAATATTGTGGACCACAAAAGAGCCTTGTACACATACCTATACTTACACACATACTATTGAAATTGAAACAAAACTTAAGACTTTAAAGATGACAGAAATCTCAGCTGGGCTTTTCATTTTTTCTTCAAACCTCAGCTCTCTTTATCCTAAGAAGTAAGCATCTGTTTCTTATTTTCGGCTTTGAAATTTGATGAGATAGATCAGAACACTGTGTTGTGATGCATGTATGGTGCTTTCAGAGTGTGGTTGGGAGCTGTAAGGGCCCCATCCCTCCTCCACTGCACTGCCTGCTTGTTGTGGGCTAGCAGAGCACACTGGGTCAGGAACCCCCAAATCTGGGTTTTGGTCCTGATTCTAATTCACTGGGTCACCTTGAGGGTCAGGGAAAGGTGTGTTTAAGGCTTACTAAATACCAGGTGCTTTTATGTCAGCTCAGTGACCACTTACAACAACCCAAGAGGTAGTACTATTCTTATCCCCAATTCCAGGAGGCAACAGTTACTCTGTTTTTCATTTAGTTAGTAAGCAGCACAGCTGCAGCTCCCAACGTGGGCGGGGTCCCAAGCCCCTGCTCCTTCCACTGCAATGGCCTGCCTCCAGCCCCCTTCCTGAGGTTCTGGGCTCCTAACTTATGAAATGATGGGAGAGGAGGGCCTTCTAACCTCACTGTTGCAGACACATAAACTCACAGACCATGAAATAAGAATGAATTTAATCCTGCAATTACTATGCATTAGAGTTTCACATGGTGTATGAGTCAGATTGACAGCAGTACTCTTTAGGAAGCCTGGAACAAAGATTTAAGAACTTAAGCCAGAATCTGTGAAAATCATGGCCCCTCTACCCGCAGCGGACCTTTGGCCAGCAGGCAGTAGTGCAGCAGCAGCAAGTAAACAGCAGACCTCCTGTGGACCCCAACCAAGCCAGGCCTAGGGGCGCCTCCCTCTGGCCTCTTCCCAGGCAGCTGGGCCTGCAGAGGGGAGCATCTCATCAGCCTCCTTCCCACTCTCTCCTGCCTGCCACTTGGCCACATACAGATTTCCCAGCCATTTCTCTTTAACCACTCTCAGCTTGAGGCAATTCCACACCAAGTGACTATTATTTTACACCCGAACTGAACTTTCAATGGACTCAGACCATCCTGTCTCAGCTCCCGCATCTATAAAGTGGGCATAATACCTTAGGGAGTTGTGAAGGCGAAATGAGAGAATTAATGGAAATCCTTGAACACTGTGCCTGAAACACAGTAAATAGATGATAAATGGTGATGAATTCCTTTTCTCCTATGACTCCTTTCTCTAAATTCTGTTTCTCTGTATTGCATTTGAACAAACCCTCCAATATCTTAGAAAAAAAAGTTATAGGCAATAAGTCAGGGTTTTCTGTAGTGAGGTAGGGAACAAGGAGACCACAGAGGGAGTGGAGCTCACTGCCTTGGTTCCGGGCCACGCAGTGTGCGCAGAGGAGCCAACGAAGTTTGTAGCTGTGGACATGTGATGACAATGAGTGAGTTTTCTTTGCAGAACAGCATGACTAAAACAGCACTTGCAGCAACAGAAATTTACCCACGTAAGCACGGCCTCCAGGTTCTGAATATCAGTTTCTGGTGAGTCTTTGATAACAAGTGAAAACAAGGGAGGGCTTATCATAAGGGTATATCTTTGATGATTAAGGGTATGGAATTTTGTGGAAATCCAAGTATAGGCCCACAGTAGGGCTGGGTCTCCCAAAGTCTAGAATGAAATGTCTGGACCCACAGCAGTCCAAGGCGCTCAGTAGCTGAAGTCTGTGGGTGTTCACTTATCACAGGGCTCAGCCACTATCTATGGGTCTGCTCCAGTCTCTTCTTACTGGAGTCTATACAAACTTTTCTCACTGCTTACCTCACTGCTTCTACTTCCTCGTAATTTTGGCAAGCTAGGACTCCTCAAAGGCCTGACTCTATCTCATGGCTTCTCTCTATGTACCATTTCAGCTTCAGTTTCTGTAGCTTAGTGTCCTTCTGTAATCCCCACTTCAAATTTATGAGGGAACATGCATTTTTCTTCCCCACTAGGTCACATCATGATCTCTGGTGAGCCTGTGAATTGGCTCCTTTTGGGTCTGAAGTCCTCCTCTGGTCTGGCAGGTTTTGCCCAGGGAGTAGGGATAAAGCAGGATTTTATGGTAGAAAACATGGCTGTCTGGGGCTGCCCCTACATGAACAGGAGTTACAGATGTAGAATTTTCTCCGAAAGAGCTGTGGAACAGCAAGTGCACAGCTGATGTGTTGAATACATCTCCACACACTAGAGCACCCACACTGGCTCTCCTTCACCTCTGCTGCTGTGGACCACCAGGATGCCTTCAGCCCGCAGTGCCGAAGCACCCAATGGTCGGTGGGCGCAGGACCTGTGTGAGCCAACTCCTTCAAAGGAGCTTAGTGGCCTCATGAACAGGTGGTATCCTCCCCCTTCCATGAACAGATAAACTGAGCTGATTCTGATGGCAGCCTCTGAACTCTCTTCTTTCTTTGCCATCACTTTTCCAGCCATTGCTCACTCTAGGGGACCGTGGTAGCTATGACTTACCCTCCCTCTTCCGGTTCCTCAGAGGGACTCCACTCCCACTCGATTAAGTTCTAGAGGGCTTTCGTTCAGAGTGCCTTACCCTCCACCACACAGGACGAGCACCTGGCCTGAAGTAGATAGTCAGAACACCCATGCCCCTTACCACGGATGGGGAAACTGCAGAAGAGGTCATCTGAGGAATGAAGCCAAATTAAGATAAGCAATGTTGAGCAACTGAGAGAGATGGAAAGAGGGAGCCCTAAAAATATTTTTTTGAGCCCCTGGGTCCAGCTATGCAGTTTTCTAAGCCAACAGATTTCCTTCTTAAAGTAAAGAGAGTCTAAGCTGATCACTTGCAACCAAGAGTCCAGACCAATACATAGTTTTCTCAAGTAAATTCTTCACTCTCTCACTTTTTTCCTCCTTCAACACATTGTGGGTCCTTAAATGACTCTAATCAAAGTTGACAATAACTAGCCTACCACTAAGTAGGATGGGGATGAAGTGGTGTAAGGTCCTTGTACTGTCCAAAAGAAGAATAGGGATATTTATCACTCCCATAACTTATCAACTTTGGTTAAATTAAAATTTTATGGGTAACCGTGAAAGAAGAGCAAGTACATAATGTCCAAACTAGTAGAAGGAAAAAAATGCAAGTGATTACAAATAAAGGGAAAGAAGGGAAGAAAGCTAAAATGAAGGGTGTACGTGCAGGACAAATGCATGGAAAGCATAAAATATGAAGACAGATTTACACCTAAATATATCAGTGGTTATATTAAATGAATATGAACTCTGATTAAAAGACAAAGGCAGGCTATTAAAAAAGCCAATTATGTGCTACTTGTAAGATACATATCTAAAACATAGTGATACAGAAAGGATGATGCTAAAAGGAGGAAAAGAAGACATACCTTGCATAGATTAACCAAAAACGCATGGTATAGTCATATGGGTCTGCTAAATGGATAAAATGGAGTTTAAAGTGAAAAAAAACATTCTTTTACTAGAGATGAACAGGGCAACTTCATCACGGTAAGATTATTTCACCTGTAAGATATAACAACTTTATATTTGTATGCACTTGATAATAGGGCTCAAAGGTATAAGGTAAAAAAATTAAAAGGTGAAATAGACAAATTCATAATCACAGTTGGATATTTTAACACATTTCTCTTTATAACAGCTAAAATAGGTAAAAAAAAATCAGGATAAAGAAGACTTGAATATAATTAACAAACTTGATCTAATGGCATTAGATCAAACATCGAGTCCTCTAAGTGTAGAATACACATTACTTTCAAGTACACACATAACATTAATAGAAACTGACCATAAACAGAGTCCTAACAGAAATTTAAACAAATTTCAAAGAACAAGCTTACTGACCACAATCAATTAATAAAAGATAACTAGAAAATACTCATATGTTTGGAAATTAAGAAACACATCTCTAAGAAACCTATGAGTCAAAGGGAAATCACAATGCAAATCAGAAAGTACTTAGAAATAAATGACTGAAATACTACCTATTAAAACTTGTGAGCCTCTATTAAACAGTATTTGGAGAAAAATGTATAGCCTTACATGGAAAGAATAAAAAGGATAAAAATTAATGAACCAAGCAATCCATTTCAAGAAGGGAAGAAAACAAAATGTACCTAAGGAAAGTAGAATGAAAAAGAGCAGAACTTAATGAAATAGGAAACAACTTACTACAGAGAATATGAATGAAGATAAAAATTTGTTCTTTGAAAAGAATCTCTACTGAGACTGAAGAAGAAGAAACGGGAGAAAGCATAAAAATGTAATCAGAATGAAAAGGGAAGTATCTCTACAGATGCTGTAGACATTAAAAGAATAATAAGAAAATATTATGAGCAATTTTATATAAATTTTGAAACCTTAAAAGGGACAAATTTGTAGAAAGTATTACTAAAACTCAGAAATTTTTAATTGTCTTAGAACATTAAAAACATTGAATCTTTGGTCAAAAATAACATTAAAGATAACAAACTTCCAGAAACAGGTGGCTTTATCACTGAGTTCTCCCCAACATTCAAGGGACAATGGAGGGGAAACTAAATGGGACAGTGGAGGAGGTGACGGGTGTGTGTTAAAGCTCTGGACTAACTGCAGCGGTAGGAACTGCAGTTTGTCCTACTAACCTTCCTTTTACAAGTTTTCCCAGAAATTGTGACCAGCCGGAATCCTGGAGAAGCTGTATCTGGATGGAGTGAACTTAACACAAAGAGGCAATGTATCTGAATGGACTGCAGAATATACTATTGGCACCCCACCCAGATCTTTACTGGCCAGCACACCCACCCCCAGCTAGAAGTGCCAGCTGATGACAACTCGCAGATGTCCCTTCTCCAGACAAACTGCCACTCACCCAGGTATATACCTCTCTTCCCCTTCTCCCACTCTGCTTCCCTCATTCTTTTCCTGAGCACTTCTCCAAGTATGTCACTTGAATAAGAATCCCCATTTCAGTCCCTGCTTCTACAGAATAGGATACACAATATCACCATTTAAGAAGGTGAAAAGAGAGTCACAGAGCAGAATATACTTTTAAAACATGTAACTAACAGGGGACAACTTTATAACCAAAATGTATAAAGAACTCCATAAATCAGTGAGAAAAATCAAAAGAGGTAGAAGACTTCAACAGGCAGTTCACCAAAAAAAAGGCCATCCAATTAACCAATAAAAAAAGTGCTCAAAAGTTGCAGGATACAAAATTCACACACACAAATCTGTGGCTATCCTATACACTAACAATGAACCAATAGAAAGAGAAATCAGGAAAATAATTCCATTTACAATTGCATCAAAAAGAATAAAATACCTAGGAATAAACCTAACCAAAGAAGTGAAAGATCCATACCCTGAAAACTACATTTTAAGAGAAATTAAAGAGGACACTAACAAATGGAAACTCATCCCATGCTCTTGGCTAGGAAGAATTAATATCGTCAAAATGGCCATCCTCCCAAAGCAATATACAGATTTGATGCAATCCCTATCAAATTACCAACAGCATTCTTCAATGAACTGGAAAAAATGGTTCAAAAATTCATATGGAAACACCAAAGACCCCAAATAGCCAAAGCAATCCTGAAAAGGAAGAATAAAGTGGGGGGCATCTCGCTCCCCAACTTCAAGCTCACTACAAAGCCATAGTAATCAAGCCAATTTGGTACTGGCACAAGAACAGAGCCACAGACCAGTGGAACAGAATAGAGACTCCAGACATTAACCCAAACATATATGGTCAATTAATATACGATAAAGGAGCCATGGACATAAAATGGGGAAATGACAGTCTCTTCAACAGATGGTGCTGGCAAAGCTGGACAGCTACATGTAAGAGAATGAAGCTGGATCACTGTCTAACCCCATATACAAAAGTGGATTCAAAATGGATCAAAGACCTGAATGTAAGTCATGAAACCATAAAACTCTTAGAAAAAAACATAGGCAAAAATCTCTTAGACATAAACTTGAGTGACTTCTTCATGAACATATCTCCCCGGGCAAGGAAAACAAAAGCAAAAATGAACAAGTGGGACTACATCAAGCTGAAAAGCTTCTGTACAGCAAAGGACACCATCAATAGAACAAAAAGGTACCCTACAGTATGGGAGAATATATTCATAAATGACAGATCCAATAAAGGCTTGACATCCAAAATATATCTCACACACCTCAACAAACAAAAAACAAATAATCCATTTAAAAAATGGGCAGAGTTGCTGAGCAGACAGTTCTCCAAAGAAGAAATTCAGACGGCCAACAGACACATGAAAAGATGCTCCACATCGCTAGTCATCAGAGAAATGCAAATTAAAACCACAGTGAGATATCACCTCACACCAGTGGGGATGACTACCATCCAAAAGACAAACAACAACTGTTGGTGAGGTTGTGGAGAAGGGGGAACCCTCCTACACTGCTGGTGGGAATGTAAATTAGTTCAGCCATTGTGGAAAACAGTATGGAGGTTCCTCAAAATGCTCAAAATGCACATACCATTTGACCCAGGAATTCCACTTCTAGGAATTTACCCTAAGAATGCAGCAGTCCAGTTTGAAAAAGACAGATGCACCCCTATGTTTATCGCATCACAATAGCCAAGAAATGGAAGCAACCTAAGTGTCCATCAGTAGATGAATGGATAAAGAAGATGTGGTACATATACACAATGGAATATTATTCAGCCATAAGAAGAAAACAAATCCTCCCATTTGCAACAACATGGATGGAGCTAGAGGGTATTATGCTCAGTGAAATAAGCCAGGCAGAGAAAAACAAATACCAAATGAATTCACTCATATGTGGAGTATAAGAACAAAGAGAAACTGAAGGAACAAAACAGCAGCAGAATCACAGAACCCAAGAATGGACTAACAGTTACCAAAGGGAAAGGAACTGGAGAGAATGGGAGGGAAGGGAGGAATAAGGGCAGGGAAAAAGAAAGGGGGTATTATGATTAGCATGTATAATGGGGGGGGCATGGGGAGATGCGGAGGGCTGTGCAACACAGATAAGACAAGTAGTGATTCTACAACATCTTAACTACGCTGATGGACAGTGACTGTAATAGGGTTTGTGGGGGGGACTTGGTGAAGGGGGGACCCTAGTAAACATAATGTTCTTCATGTAATTATAGATTAATGATAACAAAATAAAAAAATAAAAGTGCTCAAACATTAGTTCTAACTATAGAAAGAAAATTAAAACCACAAGAGATATCATCATTATATCCCATAAGAAGAGTTAAAAAATTTTAAACTGGCACTATGAAGTATTTGCAAGGATGTGAAGCCACTGAAACTTTCATATACTTTCAGTAGGAAAATAGGTACAATCACTTAGAAAACTGGCATTATCTAGCAAAGACATCTCACTTTGACATATGATAACCCAAAGCAACTTGTTCACATACACAATAAAAAATGTCTAAGGATGTTCTTGGGTACTGTTCTTGGTAGTCAGAAACTATATGCAATACAAGTACCCATCAACCATAGGGTAAATAAATATATTGTGACATGTTCATATTATGAAACAGTGTTGGCAAAGAAAATAAGTGTGGTTACCAAAGGGCTGCAACTCACAAACTGAGCAAAAGAAGCAAGCACAAAATGCACACAGTATGCTGCTGTAGGAATGCAGTTAAAAAAGCTAGTGAAAATTATATTGTTTAGGGATGCAAATACAGGAGACAAAACTGTAATAAGAGCAAAGAAATGATTATCATAAAAGCCAAGATAGTGGTTCTTTCTGGGGAGCAGGTTTGGAAGAGGGAACTATTGAGTATTGGCAATGTTCTGTTTCTTGACATAAGTGGTGGTTCCGTAAGTATTTCCCTTAGAAATGTTACGCTATACATTTGTGGTTTTTTCCTGTATGCATTCTTGTTATATTTCATATTTTTAAAAGTTTAAAGACAATGAAATAAACATGCTGAATATTGTTTGGTTCTTTGAAAAGCTGAAGGAACTGAAAATCTTTCATTTTTAAATTAAAACCTTGCCCCCCCCAAATCCCTTTGGTAGAGGGTATATGGCAAATATTTTTCAATGCCTACTTCTCTTAGGACTATAGATGGGTACACAGTCTCCTGGATCATATCTGTGCACTGTCAAGTCACCAGAGGACCCTTCTTACATATGAAAAGTAAGGTGAGTGGTCACCAAAGGTACTAGGGTAGCTCTCTGGTTGAAGGCTGCCATTCCTGGGGATCCCTAATAGGCAGAATCCTGGAGAGGAAGTAGAATCAGTTTGCCAAAAAGCCTTAGGTTAGGAAGAGAAGGGATTGAGTCTCGAAACCCTGAGAAAAGCCTTGAAAACAGGGAAATGTCTTAGGTAGTCTGGGGTGACCCTGACCAAGGCTGCTAACAGGAAAAGGCCCCATATGGCCATAAAGAGAATTCACCAGGAGATTCAGGGAATCTGGACTGGTGTCAGGCTTTGTGGAGAGTGGCTAAGCATGTGAGCATAACTAAAAAAACTCTAACCTTGGACTCCAATCATGGGCTCAAGCTGGCAGGAACCTGGTCCAATAAGGGCGTTGAGCAGCAGTGTCCACACATCCTTGGACCGTGCAGGACAACTCTCCAATAGTGATACCATATAGCTGTGTCAGAAATAAGAATGTGGGTGGACTGCTCCAACTCTGCAGTTCTCTCTTCTCTAGAGTGGAAGATTGACTTTTTTAGACCTTTTAAGTCCCAAGGGAGCTTGGAAGTAGACATCAGAATTCTCAGTAATAAGGGCATAATGGACTTAGGAGACTACTTGGAAAAATAAATATATGACTGCATCAGAACCCAACTGGTGAAATGAGGCACACAGATTAAACATCTAAAATGAAATAGATAAAATATTAATCAAATGTCTGTTTAGCTACCTTTTTTTTACACAATATGTGTATGAGTAGGAAACTAATATGCTACTAAGCTAACAGAAAGAGGGTAATGAGAGAAATAAGGCATTTCAAACAAAGCACAGGAGAGGTGACGTAAGAGATGGTTCATTCATTAAGGCAAACTGAAAGAACAAAATGCTTCTTACAAACCATCTATTATTACTATGTGACTAAGACAGGTAAAAGGGACTTGTTTTACATCTTCCTTGAAAAGCATCTCAGGATGTAATGTCTTCTTGGTTGTCCAGAACACAATGCCCCAGCTCTGAGAGCTCTGGCCGGCTCTCAGTCTACCCCTTGACCAGAGCTACCAGTGATCTGCCTCTTGGATGAGGCAATACCCCCTGATTCTGAGGTCCCTAAGCCAAAGTCTACATATGTGTTTATCTCTGTTTCTACTTATTCCTACTCTTCTTGGCCCTGCCACTGTTGTTGAAGGAAAGAAGGAAGGAAGAGAACAATATGACTGTACAGAAACTGAAAAAAACAGACCACCACCAGAAAACAGAAACCCACCATGAAGTGGGGACTGCTTGACCATGGATTACTTAACAGCTACTTGTGCCATTATAAAAATAAAATTTATCTGATAGCCATGGGAACCAAAAAGAAGGCACTATAGTGAGGGTGGTTCTTTCCAGAAATCTAAAAAGAAGGAGAGGCCTGAAACAAAGAGAAAGAAATCCAAGTGCTCCAGGCCAGAAGGAAGCCCTTTCCTAAAAGCCCTGACAAACCAGCATTGTCTCCTGTGTTTAAAATCTCACCAGGCTTCAGTAAGGTTCTAAGGACTGCTGTGACTGATGAGTGAACAATACAGCCCCCTCTAGTGTTCTTCTGTCCCTTGGGAGCCAGCTGCTGAGGCAGGCTCACTGGGAGCTGGAACTTGTGATTAGAAAATGTACTGAGAACCGGAAGAAGGAGATAAACATGTATTTCTTCTCCAGCTCCTAGTAGGTGTGCAAG